GTTCCCCCATTGGGGGGAGATGGGCAGTTGAAAAATTCAATAAATAAATAAATAAATATTATATAACAAGTAATACTCCATTTTCCCTGTTCAATGAGAGCAATCTTAAGCAAAGTACAATACGTCAGTAAAAAAAAAAAGGTTAATACTAATGTTTTGCATTTACCACTATTTTCTTTTCCTGGTAGAGAAAAATGGAGATAGTTCACCTATGGTCTGAGCTAACACCAACACTGTCAGCTATATTAAGTTTGTACATTTAAGAAAACGATAATAAGACCTCACAGGACATAGTATACTAGGCCCTTTTTTGTCCTCTTATATTGCAGTACTCTAATAAAAGGAAATTTTTGTCTGGAAGAATAGCATAAGAAATTCTGTAGTCTGACAGGCTTCAAGATGAGTTAGTGCCAAACTGGTCACTTTGATGACATTACTTATTGATTGTGGCAAAACATGCCTCAGTTCTCTTAGGAAGCAAAACTAGGTATCAACAGCATGTGTTACAGGATGTTATATGTATTATTTGTGCAAGTATTTATTAATCAATAGTAACAGTTACAAAAAGTAATATCCATTGGATTTAAGTTTAGAAACAGGCATGTTGTGTTGTTCAGTCTAGTCTCAAAGGAAAGGCTGCAACTTGGTCTCTAAGACCATGTACCTGGATTCATGCAAACTTAAAAGAAAAAATACCTTTTCCTTAGCACTGCAACAGATGAGGACCATAAGAACTTAAAAAAGAAATAGTATCATGTTTTCTTCAAATATTTTGAATTAAAATCAGTTGGCTTACCCTTAAAACAATGACCTTATGCAATTATACCAAAGTATATGATGTAATATGTTAATACGTTTATACATTTTCTGCATGTCAAAATAACTTAATTGGTCACACTTTGATGTTGACAATATAATTCTGTATTAAGCATGTTTCCAATAGTGGGTTTACAATGATGGCAAATTATATATTTAACTTACAGACAATCTGAAGTAGAATTACCTGATCCCATGTTGGGCCTTACTAAACTATTTAATGTCACTATTGATGTCAAGCTATCAGATAAAGTAAGGGAGGATTATCAGATAAAGTACAACAAATATACACCTAAGATTGTATATGTAATATACTAGAACATATAATTAAATTAGAATGTGTATGTGTGTGTGTGTGTGAGTTAGAGAGAGAGAGAGAGTCATACGTTTTTTAAAGATGGTACAGATTTGGCTCCTGTTGGGAGAAGAGTGTTTGGTTTTTACACAAATAATGATGTGAATTCTTACTTGTTATACTTTTATACCTTATCTCAAGGATTTTAGGATTTATATTTTTCTATTTTTTTTTAATTATCTTGTCCTTTTGTAGATTTAGTTTTACTCTTTTATTCTATTCATAGACATGTAGAAACCTAACCTTTATTATGTTTTTCTTTACTTCTACTTTATCTGTCTCCTGCTAATCTTTTCTTTACTCCTTAGCTGTGACTCCTTCACTGTTAGACTTTACTATCCTTCCCCGCAACCCCACCACAATTTCCAAGACTACTTTCTAGTTTCTTCTCCTGGCACTCCTTTTTTCTTAGCTTATTTTTTCTGTCTCTTTTTCAATAACAGCAACCAAACCACACTGACAGCTTCTGTTTTTGCCAGCCAAAAACTTTACCAGCCTTATGTCCATATTTAAAACTCTCTGATTCCATCTCTTAACTTAACCTTAAGTAATGTATGTGAGAGACATTGTGGACATGGTATCTGTAAAAGAGAAAGTCACAATGGGCTGACAACCTTTGCCATCCTCCTTCCCTCCACATACACAAACATACACACAAACATATAGATGCTTTTAGCTGTATATTACTTCTCTCCCCCCAAAAAACCCTAGCAATCACTATACAAAAAATGGGGAAACAAGTAAGAAAAAAATGTAACATATCTCCATTTGTACAAACCAAGGCAATTAATGAATACAAATGATATATAGTGAATATCTGCCCCTGATTCTGTGTGTAAGGGAGAAATGTGTATTTACATTTCTCCCAATATAAAGGACTCAAGACTGAATATACACTTAAAAGCAGAAATTACATAGCACAGCAATATATTTTTATTATTACAGATCTACAGCTAAAATATTTAAGTTTCCCCATCAAGGGATCCACTGGTATATGTATATTTCTCCTGCTTATCTTTCCTTCTTATATTCTTTTATTTTGTTTTGCTCTCTTAGCCTCTATCTCCTTTGACCAAATTCACTTTTTCATGCCTTTTAAATCTTTTCTTTTCAGAAGCGTTCTACCTATTCTGCCCTTCTCTAAATGGCAGCAGATACAAGATACTATTTGCCTAACCCCTGTATAAAAAGTAAGCAGCTGCCAGATGATTCACAACTTTTAACAAATATGTTAATGAATTAGGATATAAACTGATTGCAGTTTACTAAATTTACTAAAGCACTGCCCTCTTTAATACTTGAAATCCATGTTTGGACTTTAGGGCTTTATTATCATATTATAAATCAGCCATTGAACAAAGAAAGATAATTGTCTTTCCTACTATAGGTTAATAAATGTATATTAGTCTTAAAGTATTGTATCATACTTACTTGTACAGATTCTCTAGTGGTGAAGTTAAAACGAGAGCAGCTGCAAGTAAATTATTGCAATATCTGTGGATATTATAAATATGAGGATTTCTGTCTTTATGTGGACCTAAAAGTTCTTGAACGGAGCCACAAACTGACCACAGCATATTTTCACAGGTCATCAAGATTGCTATGACGTCTATTCTGTAAGAGGCAGAATAAAAACTCAGGAAGTACAGTAACCTAACAATACAATATAATCCATAATCATAAGCTTATTTGCCATAATACAGAAGATATACTATAAAAATTAATAGTTCCTTCATATTGCTTAAAATTATTTTATTTATTTATTTATTTATTTATATTTCAAATTTGTCATTACCCATCTCACTGCAGAGTGACTCTGGGTGGTTTACAGTTAAAATAGAAAATGTCATTACCCATCTCACTGCAGAGTGACTCTGGGTGGTTTACAGTTAAAATAGAAAATGTCATTACCCATCTCACTGCAGAGTGACTCTGGGTGGTTTACAGTTAAAATAGAAAATGTCATTACCCATCTCACTGCAGAGTGACTCTGGGTGGTTTACAGTTAAAATAGAAAAATATTAATTAATTAATTAAAATATGCTACAATAACGAACTTCCTATATAATACTTCCAAAAGGCTGATTATCAGGATTCTTAGGCAAAAGGAAAGAAGATGTGATGGAATGGAATTATGAAGGCCAGGCTCAGGGAGAAAAACATTTTCTTCCCTCTAGCAAGAACCTTCCCAGACTGAAACCCCAGCTCCCAAGTAATGCCAGCCACAACATTGTGAATTCCTCAG